ATCTAGAATTAATGAATAACTTTAGTCGGTTAATTGGCTTAGTGCATTCGTTTACTGAATCGATTAATTGAATAGAGCCAGCTCCAGGAGGTATTCGGCGAACGTGTGGAAGGAGTCGGGGCGAAGAACCAGGCAGTGGTCCCAAAACATGCACCAACCAGATCACAAATGTCGAAATGTAACCTCTTGGCCACACCGGGGGCAAGGCCATCGCTCTTGCTCGTGACAATCAAATGAGATCAACGTCACACCGCACTTCACGCATGAAGTGGAATGACTGCTAAAGGCGATCTTCTGTGCAGGGTTATGGTTTCAATGGCTATTTTCACTTCGAGTGTCTGCTTGCCGCAGAAGGAATGAATAATGTTGTAATTTGCATGACAAGACGGTGACACCAGCCCTGATTACTAAAACCACTGTTTGGAGGGTTGTGATGACAGCACGTTGTCTAGGGCAACGACGCTTTATAATTGGCCTAATTGCAACGTGACAGAATAACAAGACCCCCACTGGGCTCTCTGCGAATGACTCACTGCGAAGCCTTAATGCGATGTTTGGTAGAAACACAAAAGGCACAAATTGCCTTTAGATTCGTGCAGTCGCGAATACAGTTGCTTTGATGTGCAAAAACGAGAATACTGAAAATTAACATGTACAGTGTGTGCATCGTTTTATTGTGTTATAGGATTAGTAATTTTCAAAAATTGCAGAGCGTTATGGATGTTAACAATCTAAAAAAATAATATCGTAAAACGATACAATGTTGGTAAGAATGTAGTAGAGCTATGCAATGCTGTTGATCGCAAATAAGGTTGACTTGTGAACAATAATCATCTTGATTTGAAGCTTTCGTGACTGCAGGAATCCATACTCTTTGGTTCTTTCGGTAAAGTCACGTGGGTATAAAATAAAATAAAAATTATTTTATTTAATAAAAGTATTTTATTTTATAAAATTATTATTATTTTATACCTACGTGACTTTACTAGCTTGTTTGCCCATCCTAGGATGGAAGCTGTAATATTTACGAAAAAATTGAGCGGAGTATAATTGTATCTTGTGTAAATTTAATGGCAGGGAATCTTGCACAAAATATGTCATCGAACACTTCACTGCATTTTACTGTAGCACTGTATTAATGGCAGTGAATCTGGCACAAAACGAAGGCATAAAACACCCCACTGCATGTCACTGTAGCACTGTATATAACTGACCTTCAATTTGTTCAAATTCACTGCTCTGATACTTTATTCTCTTCTGCTTTCGGTCGCTGGGGTTGAAATAAATTGGAATTCGATACAATATCTGGAAAATCACCGAGAAACGTCTATTTTACCCTCAATCTTAATTTTGGAGCTTTCGTGACTGCAGGAATAATTCTTTGGTTCTTTCGGTTAAATCACGTCTAAAGATAAAATAATAAATTAAATAATAGCATATTACGACGTTTCGATTGCAACACAAGCAATCATCAGGCATAAAAGAAATAGCAACAAAAATATAACTAGAAAACTATAGACAGGCATACAAGCAGACAGACATCACAAGGACACACAGAGAGCGACACATATCGGCACAAAGAGAGAGGTCGTTTCTGTGACGGTCCCTTAAATATAGAGAGGGGGGCGGGGGCGGAGAGAGGGAGGGGACAGAGAAAAAATTAGCATATCAATGAGTGGACGGCAACGTGATGCTGCAAGTAAGATGACGACGCGGCACGGCAACGCGAGCTTGAAAATCAGGAGAAGTTATAAATTAGACTTACCTTTTGTCTCAAGTGCTGAAGAAATAAATATAAGACACCAAATCCACTTTGTTGCTGCGTATAATTATTTATTAGATTCACTTTCAATAAAAAACGTGAAACTTTTAGCAAATTTGTGAGAAAAAAATAAAGTCTGCATTAACCACACGTACTTGTGGCAAAACATGCAAACACACATGCTCTGATAATATATGCATTGCCTTTGAAACTGATTGGCCTACATATATTATTAGAGCATGTTTGTTTGCATGTTTGGTGTTTGAACATCTGAACACCTCTATTATTGGCAAAAAAAAATCTAGAACCTATTCTTATTTTTCACACTGTGATACTGGCTAAAAGATTAATGTTTTTTCCCCCATGGCAGTCAAACCGACATGGCATTTTCGTTCTTTTCTATCATGTGCATCAACAGGTGCTTGTGCACAGGCATGTCCACGTACACTTGCACCCCGTGCTCTCTTTTAGCCCCCCCACCCCTTCCAATACGTTATCATGTGTAACAACAGGGACTTGCGCACAAACACTTACACGTCGACGCCTACGAGCACCTCGTGCCCTCTTTAAGCCCCCCCCCCTCCCGATACGTTCCATTCATTGGCTACCACATTCTGATAAGCTCCCCCCCCCTCTCCTCCCCTTTAACTTGTATTTAAGAGCTTGCATCTTGAATCCCTGCCTCACTTGATGCAGCAAATCTGGCTGTGACGGTCCCACCTGATGATGGAGACTTGTGTTGCCTCCAAAACGTCGTGATTTTTATTTTATTTTTATTCATTTTAATTTCATTTTTTACCGATGTGACTTTACCGAAAGAACTAAGAGTATGAAACCGATATGTATTTTAATTCTCAGAGCTGTTTAGTTTAGTCAAATCACGTGTCCACCTAAATGTGATATCTTGCTTGCAGTCATCAAGGCGAGTGCTGAGAGAACGACTCACTACACTTGAGAGCCCTGTCTGGATTCGAACCCAGGCTGCGGCGCGAGCTTTGAAAATGACAATCTGAGCGGCAAGAGGATGTGTTCACTTAATATTTTATTTATTTTTACTGGTAGGAACCGCTAGGTTACACCAGCCCACAGGGGATTATACTGGTAGGAACCTCCTGGTTACACCAGCCCACAGGGGATTATTGTGTCCGTCGTGCAGGGAGGGGCTAGGTGGGAGGGAGGGGCTGGGTGGGTGGGTGGGGAGGGGAGGGGAGGGTGGGGAGGGGCTGGGTGGGGAGGGTGGGGCTGGGTGAGGATGGGAGTGTGGGGAGTGGCTGGGTGGGTAGGGTGGGGAGGGGCTGGGTGGGGAGGGTGGGGAGGGGCTGGGTGGGGGTGGGAGGGGTGGGGCTGGGTGGGGAGGGGCTGGTCACCCCCTGGTGCCCTTATAAGACTCAACGTTTAACCTACTCACGCCGGCTTGTGCCCGCCCTCACAGCCGGGCATATTTGCGGAATACACCACGCCGCCGTTGACCCTGGCCATTGACCGAGCAACCCAACGTTCCTACCAGCTCCCTCCGCAGGAATGTGTTACATTTATTTTATTTAAATCTTTCCCTTAAAAATCTCTCGGGGCATGGAACATCTCGTTTGTGAGGGTATCCAGGGTGTGACGCACGTATACAAAAATGTTAAATATGTAACCTATACAATGTCCGTGTATACAATGAATAGCACACTCATTCAAACACAAGTATAAACAATATTGTGCATAATTAACTTGGGCATACTGCCGGTTCAAATACAATTTATTTTAGCTGTAACAGTTGCAAATATTGTGTAAGTGTGGTTTAATTTGGTATCTAAGTTTATACTGCCTGCTTAGTCTTCGGCTACTAATCCATTAATGCTAATGATGCATACCGTGTCAACCCAAACGGGTTACCCATATTTTTGTACAGGGAAATTGAGTTTTCAGGCCGATACGGCGTACGGCCGTTTCAATACGGGTAAAAAAACATGTGTTGTCTATTTGTTTGTGTTTCTCCCTTGTGATGGGACTTTGTAGGATGAACGTTGAGACTTATAAGGGCACGGGGTGACCAATAAGGTCTGAATTGGTCTGTAATAAGGTGGGGCACAAAGGGATTGACAGGTATGATGATGCTTGCAATGACCTCACAACAGGTCCATCCAAAATGCAATGGGGCAGATATATTTTATAATTTGACTTTTAATACAAACGAGTTTATTCAGGAATATATGTTTGATCATTGAACGATTAGTTTGTTCGTCAATAGCTACGAATACATTGTTAGGGGCCGTCCATAAATTACGTCACGCACCTGGGGGGGGGGGGGGGTCAGACATTTGTGACGATGTGTGACGAGGGGGGGGGGTTTGAGAAATGTGACGTCACATCAAAATGCGCAACTTTAAATATAGACAACACGTTCTACTTAATTAAATAGACTTTTAATAAATGTTTTCTCCTGCAACATCAGAGTACAGCGGCACATTAAATACACAATGCAATGACAATAGTTTAAAGCGATTTGAAACATGTTTTATTTTGTGGGGGGGGGGGGCAGGGCTTTGTGACGTCATATTTGAGGGGGGGGGGTCTGACTTTTTGTGACGCCGTGTGACGACGGGGGGGGGGGGGGGGGTCAAAATCGTCCAAAATCGCGTGACTTCATTTATGGACGTTCCCTTATGCATATGCCAATTCAAACATTGTTCATCAGCAAAACTAAATATTCCTATTATGCCCGATGATGAAAAGTACAGCCTCAAACTCTTACATCGCCTATCTCTCCGACCTCGACATTTCTGTGTGTTGCAGAAGGCCCATTGCCCGAAACGTCGCCTTAAATGATGAGGGGTTTTAAACGAATTAATCGAACAACCACGATGGGCGGAGTTTAAATACGCGTCGCTCGCGAGGCAGCCAATCCGGTGCGTCGCTTACGAGACAGCCAATCCCCGTTACTCTCGAGACAGCCAATCCCCGTTACTCTCGAGACAGCCAATCCGGGGCGTCGCTCACGAGACAGCCAATCCCCGTTACTCTCGAGACAACCAATCCCCGTCGCTCACAAGACAGCCAATCCCCGTCGCTCACGAGACAGCCAATCCCCGTCGCTCACGAGACAGCCAATCCCCGTCGCTCACGAGACAGCCAATCCCCGTCGCTCGCGAGTCAGCCAATCCCCGTCGCTCACGAGACAGCCAATCCCCGTCGCTCACGAGACAGCCAATCCCCGTCGCTCGCCAGTCGTAGACGCCACGCCCCTTGCGGAAGTTGCGTGCGACAGTGTTCCGACAGCAGTGGGGGGGGGAGCGCAACGCGTGGGGAGTTCGCGATTCCCACCGGCTGGGGGTGGACGCGAGGCCTCGGCCCATTGCCGCTGCCGCCGCCGCTGCTGCTGCTGCTCCTCCACCTCCTGTATGCACCCCACCCCCCACCACGGAGCCTTCACTCACGCACTACGAGGCGAGGAGAACGCGTGCCTCCGTGATGCCCGCACTCGGCCCGGGCTACTGGAGCGGCTACCGGCTCTGAGGCCGTGACCCCGAGGCACACAACAACCCCCCCCCCCGCCACCTCTCGCCCGCATCGTCCCGTCGCTTGCGAGCAGGATGCAGTGCGTCCCTGCCAGGTGCCCTTTGCTGCTGTTGAGGCTGCGCCAGGGCTCCCGTGCCCCCCGCGTGAGCTACGGACGCGCCGGGCGCTGGGCCGCGCCGGCCCGTGGCCCTTGCCGCACGGCGTTGGCGGCGTTGATTTGCCGCGGGGCTCCGCGGTTATGGCCCCAAGGCACGACCGCGTTGGCGAGGGCTGCGTCGGGCTTGCAGGCTTCCGCGGAGCGATGGGCCCAGGCGACGAGCGGCGGCGCTGGGGTGCGACGAACGGGTCTGAGGGTGGTGGTCCCGGGGCTTCCAGGGGTCATCGTGCCCTGGGGGGGTCACCTGGGATTCGCGGCTCCCGACGCACGGGCCTGGAGCCTCCACCACGTCAGGAGGTTCGCGAGTGGCCCTGACGATGGACGAGGCCTCAAGCAAGCGGGTGACACTGGCGCGGCTTCCGAGGTTGGGGGTGTTAAGAGCGCCGATGACTCCTCCAAGGACTTGAAGAAGCTGATGGCTCTGGCACGACCCGAGAGTCGGACGCTCGCCGGTGAGACAGCGCCACATTTCGGCTGCCCCGGGACGTTAGCAGTGCGTCGTGATGACCGCAGTGTTGCCCACCCCCACCTGCTGTTGAATCCTGGCACGAGCACTGCACGCGATTGACCGTGACGGGGGATGAATGTGGAGTGGCGCATTGTCAATTGCTGCGCTCGAGTTATTGTGCGGAATGCACAACATAACTTGTTTTGATATTTTGAGCACACGCAAGGGTAACGTATTCTTGAGCAGAGATGGAATTAGATAAGGTGAAATCCTTATGCTCCCTGGGTTATAATGCACTATTTTATGCCATTAATGGATTTGGCACAACACAAAGCACAAATTGACTTGTTGAGAGGAGCAGGGCAGCTTGACCTCTCATTTAGTTTGAAAGGCTTTGTGAGTTTAGTGAGATTGTGTTTATTCAAACTTCGCTTTCTAATCGCCGGTTTTGTTTTCTTTGCCTTCCACTCGTGGCAGCGGCGGTGGGGCTTCTGTGCATATCGAGTGTGGTGACAATGTCGGTGCCGTTCTGCCTGGGCAAGGTCATCGATGTGATCAACAGCACTGGCGGCGTAGACATGGCCCCCACCGACTTGGCTCACCTGGCCACCGTGCTCTCCGGCATCTTCATGGCCGGGGCCGTCGCAAACGCCGGCCGTGTCTATCTCATGCAGGTGTCAGGTCCGGCCTGCCACGCACCACACCACCATCACCACCACCACCATGGCTCTGTGATCGGATTGTGGGCCTCTACCGGTCCAGGCCAGATTGTCTGTCAGTGTAGTACATTGCCTCTATAGCAGTGGTCAAATGTGAAGATGCATTCAGTGTTGCCTGTATTAAGTGTATTTGTCTTATGTATTGCTCATTAAGTGTGATACAATTTATGGAGAGCTTAACGTTTTTTAAAGCTCGGGAGGGGGTGGTGGCAGCACAGTGAGGTTTGTGCACTGCACTCAGAAGCCGGCCACCTGAGTTTGATTCCGAGTCATTGCTAACGCCAGTGGCAAATCGTATCACAGCCAGTCCAGACCACCTATCCCCCTGCCTGCCCCTCACCTTTCCCAACTTGCAATGACCAGTGTGGTATTGTCCAACATCTCCCGTGACTGACATTGCCCGCGGAGGCCTTCGTCCAGTCGCGGATTGACAAAGGGCTTTAAAACATCACTTAAGAAATATGAAGTCGTTTGTAAATAATGAAGATGTTTAATGCATTTCCAAACTGCAAGGAACAGGCGGTTGTGAAACCCTTGATCTCTTATCGGTAATCTCACCATCGTCCGTTGGGGCATGTGATGATGACATCTGGTGCGGTCGCAGGCCAACGGATTGTGCAGCGACTCCGCGACTCCCTCTTCCGTGCCATCATGCGGCAGGAGCTCGGCTTCTTTGACCGGACGCGCACGGGCGAGCTGGTGAACCGACTGTCTGCTGATACGGCCCTAATGGGCCGCGCTGTCACGGAGAACTTGTCCGATGGACTGAGATCTTTGGCCCAGGTCACGGTCGGCATCGGCATGATGGTGCGTGAGGAGTAACAGTTCTTACCCGAGGGTAGTAGCGTGCACAGCCTGGTTAGTGGTGTGGTGCTACATTGTGGCACTTCTGTAAAAGATTAAATATGTCTCCAATTCATACAATATTTCACTGGTATTTTTTTTTATATAATACGGGGAGCGGTGGCGCAGTCGTCGACATGCTGCGGCTTGAACTTGGAAACCTGAATTTGAGTCCTGGTCACGGCTGACATCGCCTATGTTTTACATTCCCATGAAAATAATTGTAATTGGGAATATCAAATATATTCTATCCATCTTCTTATATTAACACAGTGATGTGTCGAAATATAAGAAATATAAGAATTGGTTTTGCCCTTGGCAAAAAGGGTACAACCAATTCTGATTCTGGAAAGAAAGGTCCCATGATGTAGCTGCTCACCCTTAGCTATAAATACCCTGATAGTGCATTGTCTTTGTGCTGTTTGCCTTTTGGTGTTCTATGGTCTTGCAGTTTGAGGCTAGGATCTGGTGTGGACCAATCGGTTTCAAGGATAATGCTTATATTGCCAGAGCATGTTTTTATTTGCATGTTCACCACAAGTATGTGTGGTTAATGCAGATATGATTCTTTGCTAACGATTTACGTTTGGTGTATTAACATCTTAACACCTGTTTATTGCAAGAAAGGGTTAAACCAATTCTTATACAGTGATGTATAATTATTGGTCATTTGGATTATATTGCACGTTATGAATTAATGTTATGGCATATTACTGACCTATTTATGACACAAATTGTGCAGTAGAACTTGCATACAACGTTGTGTGGAGGAGATATGTTACAATTAACCCTCATTCCAATTCAGGAGCATAATTCGAATCAAGAATATTTTATTTTTGATTTCCATATTAGCCTCAAGCGGCTGGAGGGTTCAGATTAACGAATTACATCCAACATCCAACACGTACGAATCCACAAACATATATCCCTGCACACTTCAAACGTATGCACCGTGAATTTGCGCATCAATGACGTGAGCTGTGCGTGCCCCCCGTCCTTTTCTAGTTCTACGTCTCGCCGAAGCTGGCCACCTTTGTCCTGGGCGTGGTGCCGCCCATCGCACTGATCGCCGTGGTGTACGGCCGCTACCTGCGCCGCATCACCAAACGCACGCAGGACTCGCTCGCCGAGGCCACGCAGGTAGAGCCGCCCACGCCGGACACCAGAGCTGTCACTTATCCAGCAGCGGGCACATTTGTGATTCACCCCAAACTCCGTTGCATGAATTGTCACCATTCAGTTCTTCGAAGGTAAAAGCCTCATAATTGCATGAGTCAGTTTGGATTCACTGGTTCGATTGAATAATTGTTTTTACGCCTAGCTTGTGTTTTGCTATTCACAATGCACATCTTGTCCTGTAATATCTCTGTGTTGTGTTTTTGAAATGACTACTGCCCATCGCATGTGTATTGTCAATCTCATTTATACTATTCTGTTTGTCTCATTCTGACCATGACCGTAATGTAAATATAAGAAATTGAAAATCGTGCTGACTCGCACAACGTGGTGTATGTATCACTAGTATAATAAATAATTGTAATCAATGAATTTTACATGCTTGGCCAGCAGCAACTTCAAGCAGGAGGGGCCTTTAAACATCTCAACGTTGAGTAGGCCTGTGCAAGCAATGTGACGGATGTATATTGCACATATGTTTATCATCAGTTATAGGAATGCTCACGTGTACTACTCGCAAGCCAGTAAACAAAGTCTGCCAAAATAAGTGTGCCAGGCAGTAATTGATGTTCAAAACAGGTGGACGTGTTTTTGTTCTGCTTCACCGACCTTGCTTTCACAGTCTTCCGTTCCGCACTGCAGGTGGCCGAGGAGCGCATAGGGAACATTCGCACGGTGCGGTCGTTTGCGAAGGAAGAACTTGAGATGGAGAAGTACTCCTCCAAAGTGAACTACGTGCTACAGCTGGCATACAAGGAGGCTTTGGCTCGAGCCGGCTTCTTTGGGGCGGTGAGAGCTTGTTAGCGCGCAAGAGCACGACGGGAAAAGCCAGGGGTTTGTGGGGCGTGTCTGCACACGCAGCATTGATGCTGCTACAAAATAATAGATATGCCCAAAGAGATCCTGACATACAGTGTCGGAATCACTCAACCGATGTTGCAGCCCCACACCGACACTATTGTTGTTTCTGCCGATTGCATTTGGAGGGTAGAGAAGGTTGTCAGGGATTGTGTTGAGATGGAATGAAGGGATAAGGTAAACAGTGAGTGTGCGTTCGTTTTTGCAGACGGGGCTGTCTGGCAACCTCATCGTCTTGGCCGTGCTGTACAAGGGGGGACTGCTCATGCAGAGTGCACACATCACCGTCGGGGACCTCTCTGCTTTCCTTCTCTACTCTGGTTGGGTGGGCATCAGCATCGGAGGTAAGCTCACCTTCAGTTTACAGCAAGGGACACTGCTCTTGCCTTTTGCTGTCTTATATATGGCTTGATGAATAGCAATTTGTACGTCTATGTTCAGACTACTTTGCCAGGAAATAAATGGCTTCAGTTTACCTACAGTGGATTGCTTCAAAGCCTCCAATGACTTTTCGATTTAAAGCTTTCGTGACTGCAGGGATTCATCACCTCCAATGACTGTTCGGAGTTCACAATGGTTCACTGTGTTGTCAATGGTCTGTTCAGTATTTTTAGCATTTTGCCTTTACCGAGAAAGGGTCAACAAAAAGTCTGTGCTTTATCTCCACCATAGGACTGAGCTCTTTCTACTCGGAGCTGATGAAGGGGCTGGGAACTGGCAGTCGCATCTGGCAGCTACTGGATCGTCAGCCGACCATCCCACTTGGTGGTACGCCCAGCCCAACCTCGAAGCAGGACATTCCGCATTAAATACCATCAAACATACAATCTTTCAACCGCGTGGGCCCTGACTTTTTGCAGCGGAAGTATTCGTCAATTAAAATAAACAGGTGTGGTGACGATTGCGATTGTGGGCTCCCTCTGGCTGATGCCGGCTGCTTGCTTTGTTGTGACGTGCGTCGCGTGGCAGAGGGGCAGGTGGTGCCGTTGCAGGCGCTGCGCGGGGAGATCGAGTTCCGTGGAGTGCACTTTGCCTACCCGACTCGTGAAACCGCCCCGGTGTTCCGCTCGCTGGACCTCGCGGTGCCGGCTGGCCAGGTCACCGCCGTCGTGGGCCCCAGCGGCTGCGGGAAGTCTACGCTCCTGTCGCTATTGCTACGCCTCTACGACCCGCAGCAAGGTCCGACGCTCTGCTGCCACGTGTCGCTCGCATAGCTAGGAGGGGTTTGGGCGCAGTATTCATTCGCAGCAGAGGTCACCCTCTCATGGGGCACACTCGCACTGCTTTATCATAATCATCATCCGCCAAAACACGTATACGGATTACATATCGGTATGGAATTGGACATGGTGTCACGCTTTCGCCAAAGTTACATATATGAGAATGAATATTCGGATACTGGGGGAAATATTACACATACACATGTTCACGATCACTGCATTGTGTATTTGTTCTGTGTTACAGGTCAAGTACTAATTGATGGGCAGGACGTCCGGGAGGTGAACCCAAGCTGGCTACGATCGCAAATTGGCACCGTCAGCCAGGTGCAAGCACACATATCACTATCAGAATGTGAACTTACAGAAAGACATTTGCCCATAAACACATCTCATCCAGTAGGCACACACCTCCGCTGTATGTCGCGGGCTGTGCGATGCGAGCTTTAAGCTTCATTAGATGAAGAGAGACTTTAATAGCGCATTCAGGTGCTCCATCATAGTCATCTCGGTGACCCTCGCTGAACTGAGATTAAAATGTATTCGAGTGACATTAAAATTCTGTTGACGTCAATGCAGCTCAGCAACAGATGGCCTGAACAAGAGTTTCAAAGATTCATACTTGCGTCAGTTGTGTGTCTGCACAGGGACATGGCTATTTTGTTTATTCTTGAATTGATTTGTGTCTAATGCCGTACATCTGCAGTGAAAGAAAAATAACATTTTATATACGAAAGCAAAAATGTGAAGTCTACGAATAACGCATTCGATATGGGGGTGGGGGCACCTCTTATTTTCTCGAGATGAAGAGGACTTTCAGATCCCTCGTAAACGCACAAGGTGGGCCACACGTCACCCAAGCGGTGACTGTCATGACGGAAGCGACCGATCATGCTGAAATTCGATTCTGCGTTGTTGCCGCCTCGATATTATTCCCCTGACATTCTTGATTAGTGCAGTTAAGATGCTGGCAGTGAAGGATAAATGTCGTTTTGCGAGCTATTTTGAAGTGGTTGGGTTTTGGCCAATGAAACGAAGTTGTTGGAAGTATATTGGCCCCTGCAGGCCATAGGTTATCTATATTACAATAAAACATTGCAACATTTTTGGTTGACAAACAGAGGAACTGTTTGGTCTCTTCCATGCTGTGTTCAACCACCACTGCAGGTCAAAGCTCCTCCATTTTTTCTTCTTACCACGCATAGCTCGTCGTGGAAATTCCCTTCCATCTCTTTAAAACGTTGCTCGGTGAAAAAAAAAAAGTCTTCATCTTCATCTGTCGCCTGATATTCGTAACCGTCAGCCATTTTTTTTGCATTTGGGCCTGCGGTCAGGAACCGTGATTTTCAACAACGAAAAAAACCCCCGCATGAAGCGGGACTCAAACACCCCTCGCGTGCGCGTGTGGCGCAGGAGCCCATCCTCTTCTCGTGTTCAATCGCGGAAAACATCGCGTACGGCGCCGCCAACCCCGAGGCCGCGAGCAAAGCGGACATCGCCCGCGCGGCGCAGGCGGCCAACGCCTTCGGCTTCATCGAGGGCTTCCCCAGCGGCTTCGACACGGTCGTCGGCGAGAAGGGGGTGCTGCTCTCCGGTAACGCCGCTCCAGCGAGGAGCTCGCGGGAGATACGGTTCAACCCGTACAGTCAACTCATCCACTGCCTGCATTCAACCTTGCACTTTACTGCGAGTCGTAATGCACATCTTCCTGCTCCTTGCCTCACACTGCTCCAATTTGGAATTTCCTCCCATTGTCTCTTTTTTCCTCGCTTCCTCCGCCGAAACCTCTTTACTTTGTAAATTCCCTCCCGACATCTCTTTTCCCCAAGTCCTCAAGGCCTTTGCTCTCAATTCGAGACATTAATTTTTACCCATCACATCGTTTCTTCCGTTTTTTGCTGGTTGCTTGGTGTTTTGGGCCTTTGGGTCTGTGCTCCGAAACATTGGGGAGAAAGCTGGAGTAACCGGAGGAAACCCATACATACAAGCCGCTAACACTTGTGTGCACAGATCGATTCAGGAATCCATTGTTGTACAGGCCCCCTTGCAGTGGTTTAGAGTACGAATATCAATTTGGCTGAAATCCCATTTATTACTTTTATTTCTGGCATCAGAAAGATGTAAAAACCGCAAAAAGTAATTTATGCGTTTGTTCTCTTGATGTGGAATGGCATTTGGGCTCAAAATCATGGCTCTTTGCCCAGTAGCTTTGCATGATCTTTCTTACACTACTGCTAAGTATCACACACTTTTCATCCGTGTTGGCAAGCAGTGCTTTGCCCCTGGCCTTTTCAAAGAAATAAGCCCCCATGTGCCAAGATTTACTAAATGAAACACTTAAAGGTGTGAATTACCAGACCGGTTTCTGTGCAATCATCATCAACGCCCAGATGGAAACCACAAACGTTTGCCGCACACGAGAACCTGGTGCTTTTAATTTCCTTGACCGTGAGCCCATGGTATGGATCTCAGTGTTACTTATTATACCACCTGTCAAGCATCAGCCTCTTTGAGGCACTCGCTGAGCTCACAAACGATAAACATTCACACGGGTTATGTCTTCCACTTCACACAGGTGGCCAGAAGCAACGAATTGCAATCGCACGAGCCATCCTGAAGGTGATGCTTTTTTTACAGTGGAGCATTTCAAATTACACTCGATCCCCCCACTGTATTTGAAGCGTAAATGTGTGTGTCGTAGCTCTGACAATGATTTTTTTCTTATTCATTGCAGAATCCAAATATCCTCCTGCTGGATGAAGCAACAAGGTAGGACAAATCGTTTACTCCGATTATCATCATCAGCCACAATCAGTCCACTGCTGGGTGACAGCTGACACCACTTCTCGCTGTCTTGCGATCCCTCATATTTGATTTTTTTAATACTTTGATCTATAAAACAAAACTCTGTTGATGAGACACAATGTTAAAACCTCTCCAGAGTTTGCTTGTATTGTGATTTAGTGCTGCTAATAATGCACTCCCAGATGGTCGCGTGGCCAGTGGGTTGGATAAGAAATATTTATATTTTTTACGTAGAGTGTGAAGAAGACACATTGCTTATTTATTTTGTTAACACTGGAAAATGGTGTATGCATAATGTTATCTTGTTGTATAGATATTTTTTATCATGAGGTGGTGTTAATGACGATTCCTTTTTTAACGAGTTGCAAAACTACATTTCACCTTTCCAGTGTTGTGTGTCGCTAAATATTTTACTGGTCACCGAAAACTGTGGTGGGCATGTGAATAGTAACCGCAGGCCATTGCGAGAGGTATGCTTGGCTGTGGCGTGCCGGATGCGGAAATATTTACCGGGGTCGCTCACATGAACAGACCCAGATTAAATGAAACCCTGGTTCGTAGTAGCAGTGGTACTCGTAGTGAATACTTGTAGGCCCCAGTAAGCCATTGTTGTTGAAGGAGGCTGGCGATGTCAACTGAAATTAAACAAAACTATATTCAACTAAACTTTTTATTTTACCAGGTAAGGCCCATTGAGCTATATAGCTCTTTTTCAGAAGCGACCTGGCCACAAATGATAGCTCATTGAAGTGGCTTATCATGTGGGAATTTATATCAGTCAAATACTTGACTCCAAATGTATGTTTCTAAATGTGGAGGGAAAAACCGGAGGACCCAGAGAAAAATCCACGCGACCACGGGGAGAGAGACACCCAATCTCCATATAGACAGGCAGTCAGGGTCGGGATCGAACCCACGACCGCCTGTATACTAGGCGAGGTAGTTAACATCTTGCCACCGACCGTGAAATAAGCCTCATCGCATTCGTCATCGCCGCCCCGCAGTGCGTTGGACTCGGAGAGCGAGTCACTGGTGCAGGAGGCGCTGGACCGGCTGATGACGGGACGCACGGTGCTGGTGATCGCGCACCGCCTCTCCACAATCCAGGGCGCGGACCGCATCGCCGTGCTTGAGCGAGGCCGCGTGGCCCAGGCCGGCACTTACGCACAGCTGACGGCCGACACGGGCGGCATGTTCCATCGCCTAGTGGAGCGCCAGACCGCGGCACACCACGCGGTCGTAGGGGACCAGCGTGCCGGATGAGCGGCGCATGTCATCGTCACCATGTCGTTGGAACTCAAAAGGCTGATCGCCAATTTCGACGAACAGCGACTTTGCCTTTTCATGTAAAGGGATACGAGGAGAAACTGCCGAATGATATGCGCGAGCTGCCCGAACATCGATTATGAAAATCTTCATGCCAGGTGGACAACACGATGAGCCAGATGATGATCGGGGTTGCTGTAGTTGTGGCGGATGTGAAGGATGTATCTTGCCAAGTCAGTGCTGGCACCAAACTACTTCCTGAGAAATCCGTTGTCCCACCCTATTACTTTTGCGTGCACTTACATTGTAACCACATTACTCTCGTTCTATAGCTGTGCTGTGTCGTGTTTTAAAACGGAGCAGACGCAAACGTGGACACGATGCAGTCGCAGGATCCAAAGTGCCACCTTGTGCCGTGGAATCAAAATTGTCCACACAGGTGATGGGAAATGATGTGGCATCTGTTGAATCTTGTTAGACTTATAAGATGATATTCTGTGAGTACTGATTCAAAAAGTCTACACAAGGCAGGTTGTGCAGTGTTTCTACCAATAACATTGCTAATTGTGTAAGTTTGTGCCGTTGGTATTCAGGGAAGATGAGAGCGGTGAATCCCACAATATTTGAAAAAAATGTAAATGATCAGCCACACGCTATCACAATAACAGTGTCTTTAAAATGCCAATATTAAAGGCCAAATATATTTTGTATATGAGATATTTTAATCTATTTTATATGTGCATTATGATGTGTAGATTGTCTCTTGTAAAAATGGTCTTTTGGTTTTTTCCCTCGGGCGCATGTCCCATACTTGTGCTCGATCGCATTAGAACCGAGTCTCCACCTCTCGAAGAACCATCCGAGCTTTGAGCGCTGGGTCTGGATGCCCCTCCCCCGCACTCTGAATATTACCCTGTAAAGAAAGCCCACCTCAAGAATTTACAAAAGGGAACTTTTTATGGTATTTTTTTTGCAATTTTGATAAAAAGCCATCGCTGGTCTGTGGAACTGCATCAGCTTGTTGGATAACCACAGGGATTGATGTGATACCAAATTACTTGGCCGTAAATGGAGGAGACGCTACTTTAGACATCGCTCTAGTGATTGGAGCAGGTTTGCCTGGTGTGGTTTTTATACATTCCACTTTTAAATAAAGACCATTCATGATGAGTTTGCATTTGATGTTTGTCGTCATGTATTCTACAGGTTGCTCACACACCGTGGTTGTGTTACGTGCAATGGAGCGATGGGTCATTGGTCCGTTGCCCCTCGATCCCTGTGCCCATTCATCAGCCGAGGCATGCGAGTATCTCGGAACCTCAGGACCTTAGAGGGAGGGGGCATCAGTAGGGCAATTCTCCTCAGGTCCATGGGGACCCCAGCAAATAGCACAGATGGTATTTTGGTATTTTCTGAGCCTCCAAAAACCTTTTGGGGCGGCCCTACCAAGGAGCCCCACTCTTATCCCCTGCCCTCCCCAGAGGCTTCCATTAAACCAGCCAAGGCCGTACCCCTGGGTGGCCCGCAGCTGCATGCCACCACTCTCGCGCGCACACAACGCATGTGTATGGGCCATCCAGAACGTGTGTACAAGTGGACTGAAAATAGCCCTGTGCGGCTGTACATCTAGAAGCAATCACCAGATCTTCGCTTTCATCTGTTATCGCCACGTTGAAGATGTTCACGCTCTGCTTTGAATGAGCGAGCGAGCGAAGACTCCGAGTGTCGTGCGGTTTCGGGTGCGATCGCCGCACAGCAGTGCACGCCTTGCCTTCTTTAGGCAGCGAGAAAAGCGGTCAGACGTAACTCGATCGGGCTCTCAAAAATACCCACAGCGTGCCACTCAGAACCGCTCTCCGCTGCCCCCAGGCGCGAGGGCAGGGTGAAAAAAAAATCCCCTCGGTGACTCCAGGAAAGGACATGGCCCTCACTGCTCAAGGTCTCTCACAGCGAGATGAGGGAGTGGCCGGCTTGTGGCTCGCAGATCGACGAGGTTGCAGACTATGCCTCGGGTTTTCCAGTCTCGAATGATGCGTGCAGGTGAATTTCTGAGAAACTGGTTTGATCATCGGTGGGTTTTTTTCGTACAAGACGGGCGCAAGGGTTGGTGGATTACGAAGATTTGTGACATCTCCCAAGCCCGTTGTTGGGCTGTGGGGTGACCAGGAGATGGCGGTACAGCAAAGCGTGCAGGTGGGATTTCTCCGGGTACGCCTAATGCCTCGGGCTTGCAACAGCAAACAATACTCATTAAAGTGAAATTGGACAAACATCTCAAAGTAGCAACCAGTCTGAAACATGTATCTTGAGACTCGATGAGGCTCACCTTGATACGTTACTATGCTATCAGTTCATCCATTCTATTGCGTTTGCTTAAGGAATTCCAACCTGCACACATCACCCGAGACGGGAAAACCCCAATGCGGAGTGTGGCTTCCTCAACCCGGAGCCATGAGCCACCACGGCCACGATGTGATCCTGACAACTCACGAGTAACGTGGAGAATCCACGCACGGCCAAGCGGTTTGCACATCTCTTGCACTGAAGGCAGTGGGAGCTTTCACCTGGTGAAGAGCGGCAGGGTTGCGTCGTGGTAACACTTGGGCCTCACCGCACGAAGGGACCCAGGGTTCGATTCCTGACTTGGGCTCCTTTCTGTGTGACGTTTGTATCTTCCCCCCACCCCTTATTCTACACGTGGTGGGTTTCCTCCTCTGATTAAAAAAAAACTGACTGGTAATCGCCAAATATGGCAATGCTGACAAAATTGGTTGAAACATTGGACCTCCTTTGCCAGTATCAAAATATGAGAATAGGTTTTCCCCTTTTTTCTGGCAACAAAACAGGTGTTAAGATGTTAAAGCACCAAACTGAAACCTTTTACAAGGAATCATGTCTGCATTAACTACAATGCTTGTGGTCAGAATGCAAACAAAAAACATGCTCTGATAAAATATGCATTGTCTTTGAAACTGATTGGTCCACACCAGAGACAGCTTTCTTTTGAGTCTCGTCTCAAAACGGTGTTAGCCTTTTGGCGTCCTCTGGTCTAACATCGTTTTGAGACGAGGCTCAAACGAAAGCTGTCTCTGGTGTGAACCAATCAGTTTCAAAGAGTATGTTTTTTTGTTTGCATTCTGACCACAAGTATTGTGGTTAATGCAGACATGATTCCTTGTAAAAGGTTTCAGTTTGGTGTTTTAACATCTTAACACCTTATTCTAGATTTGAAGTTTTCGTGACTGCAAGGATCCATACTCTTTGGTTCTTTCGGTAAAGTCACGTAGGTGAAAAAATAAAATAAAAATGAAAATATATACATTAAATCACGACATTTCGATTGCAACACAAGCAATCGTCAGCAGGTGTGACAACCACAGCAAGAAATGTTTTACTAAAGTGGGAGAGAAGCCGGAGTTCAGGAGTTTATATAAATCAGAGAGGGCGAGGGGGGGGGATAAGGGGAGGGGGAGCTGGGCAGGGGGGGGGGAAGTGGGCGGGGCTGGAAGTAAGTGGATGCGGTGTATGGAGATGATGGCGCTCGAAACAGAACAAACACAAAATAGCCGCACTGCTGAACGCTGAGGATGCAATTAACTCGGTAAAAATAGACTAGTAGCCGGTAAATAAGATGGAACAACTATGAACAATTACATTTTACGTGGTTAATTACATCTTTCCAATGATTGCTCAATTTGTATCCATCCTCTCGGTTGAAGTTATGTCTATGTCTGGATGGCTTCATGAACGAATCTTTGATGGTAGCCAGATGGCTTGCAGAACACCTTGGTCTCGGAGAAAACAATATCATGAGAGTCCACAGCGTTATAGCAATGATCAGCAACGGCAGAGGAATTAGTTCTGCCATGTTTCATATCTGATTTATACTCGCGGATACGGTCAGAGACATGACATTTCGTTTCCCCAATGTAACAATCACCACAGATGTAACATAGTTTGTAGACTCCAGGCTATTGTAAGTCAGGAATGACATCCTTCACAGATGGGATTAGATCACGGATTTTGTGTACTGTACTGAATCGGACCTGGATCTTGTGTTTGTTTAAGATTTTGGCAATTTTTTGGTAACGCTTGCTATGTATGGTAACGTGATGGTTTTGATCGGGGGTTGTTTCTCCATGGTTGGAGAAACAGCTTTGCGGATAATCTTAACACCTGTTTTGTTGCCAAAAAACCGGGAAACCCTATTCTCAAACCAGTTGCAAATTACTCGATTTGCAACATCGCCCTCTACTGCGACCAAACTTGGCACAGGAACACTTCTGAAAACAAAAATAGTTTTCCAACTCGTTGAGGCTTTGCTGGGTTAAAAAAAGTGTTATAACAAAAATAACCACAATAAAACAGAATGTTACCACTGAGGCAGGGCACACGTGGCGGCAGTGCGAGAGGCGTGTTTTCTGCCCTTTCCACAGGGCCCACGTGCAATGCCACTCGGCTTGTCGCGGTCCTCCTCCATCCACGATTTTATTGCCAAAAAATTTGAGTCCCGTATGAACTTAAAAAAAAAATCGTTTACATGTAGTCCCCGACTTACGATGGAGATACGTAAGTCGAAATGATCGTAAGTCGAAGATGGCCTCGCCTACCCAGGAGTCTAAAGAATGGTGATAATTTAGCAAAAGAGAGCAATTTACAGTACCGTACTGTATAAACTATATACTGTATGTATTTATTATTTACAATACTGTATTGCACAGTAAAATGTAAAGTAAAAAACAAGGTAAATTCTCAGCTTACCTATATGAACTGCAATTTAATAGAAAGTTTTTTCAGGAAACAATCCTATCTGCTATAAAAAAAAAACGTTTAACATGCATTGAACGTATCGTATCGTGGTAACCTTGAAATAAAATCGCTAAAGCTACGTATCACACATGCATTGAACGTATCGTAACGTATCACATTGTACTGTACTCACCAAGATTATGTCCGTCGTCTGCATACTTGAACGATGTCAGGTTGTTGATGGCAATTTTACCGTATCGCTATCGCCATCGTAAGATAGAAACATGTGTAAGTCGGACCATCGTAACTCGGGACACTACCTATATTTACACCCATTGTGGTGGATTGTAGCCCCCTCTAGTGGCTGTAGGGATCCGGTGAACTCCAGTAATTATACCAATCGCAAGTAATAATGATGATGCGTCGTGCATCGTGAGCAGCAGACGATGATTCATCGATTAATAGTTGTGCCGAGAAAGAGGCGCGCGCGATGACAGCGGATCTCTGTGGAAAAAATTCGCTCATTCTCGGTGGGGAATGTGGGAGGGGATGGGGTAGTTGGGGGGGGGGCGATGGTGTTGTATGGGGGGAGGGGTGGACCCAGGGTGGACGTGGCCTCGCCGGACCCCGTGGCCTTGCTGCCTCCTCCTCCCCCCCCCCCCGATAAGGATGAGTAGGAAGGGGACACTGCTGCCCGCGGGGCCAAGGCGGACGACGAGAAGACGCGTGGACGTAGCCGACAGTGGGCAAGAGTCAAGCGCGGCTCCCTGCTGGTGCGGGTTCTAGCCTCCGTTGTTGGCGACCCGGAGCCATTTGTAGAAAGTCCACATTCCTGATGCCTCTCCATATATCCAAACAAAGACGGCCACCGCTGACTTCACACGAAGCGGTCGCGATTTCATCCACCGGCCAAAGGGGCGATTTGCTGAGCGGGTCACATCTTCGACGCGTTTCTCCACAAATGCGCCACGCTTGGCTAAGCGTGCCCTCCTGCAGTAGTTTGCGTCGATACGGCGCTACACAATACTTGAGTGTTTAAAATCGAAATAACCAACGCTGTGTTTCTAACCGTCACTGTGAATAATAAATCTGCGGTACAAGTTCACCGAAGCGACAGCGTTACGCCGTATTTATTTATGTTCCGAGCCGCTGTACGGCGGCGGTAGTTTCTGTTGAGTTTGTTTAAAATGTCCCGTAAAGAGAACGACGCATGGAACGCAACGCGGCTCTCCTCCGCGCGTGCGTTCCTGCGTGATTTGCGGAACGGCGGTCGCGTGGGTTTGTTTAGTTTCTCTCCAAAGTAAACCGACGGCTTGCATCGCCTAAATAAAACACGCCAACGCTCGTCTCGAGTGGCGAGAGCCCTTGACAGTTAAAACCTTACGTTTTAAGGATAAATGGTTGAGCAGAGTGGCGTGTTT